TTTGATTGTTGTGATAACTGGGGACATAAGGGTGGGGGGAGTTGGGGAGTTGGGGGAGTGTTTCTATTGGCATCTAGTGGGTAGAGCCCAGGGATACAGCTAAATACCTTTCAATGCACAGGACACCCCTTGTACCAAACAAAGAATTATTCAGTCCAAAATATCAGTAGTGCCATGATTGAGAAACCTTGCCTTTGAAGAGTAATTCTAACATTTTAGCATGCATCAGAATCACCTAGAGGATTTATTAAGACATAAACTCTCAAAAGGGCTGAGCTCTCAAAGTTTCTGATGTATATCTAGAATTCCTTACAAGTTCCCAGGTGATAATGATGCTGTTGGTCTAGGAACGACACTGTACGAACCACTGCATTAGAGAACCAGTACATCATATAACAGTTTTTTTTTCTGTGTAATATTGTTATTTGTGTGGATTTTCCTGATACCTGTTAAAGTAGTTATCATTGATATGTCTTTGTTTTAGTTCTTTTGTTTAAATTAAAACAATTCAGGGCCAGACACAATGACTCATGCCTGTAATCCCAACACTTTGGGAGACTGAGGCGGGTGGATCACTTGAGGTCAGGAGTTTGAGACCAGCCTGGCCAACATGGTGAAACCCCATCTGCACTAAAAATACAAAAATTAGCAGGGTGTGTTGGCCGGTGCCTGTAATCCCAGCTACTCTGGGGGAGGCTGAGCAAGTCTTCCCTCTTGCGACCTTCATATTTTAGACTTTTATTTTTTGAAGCTCTGCCCCCTTGCAAAGGTGAGCTTCAGCTACCTGCAACAGTCACTTCTGGGAATTGCTTGAACCCAGGAGGTGGAGGTTGCAGTGAGCAAAAAAAATGCCACTGCACTGCAGTCTGGGTGACAGAACTAGACTCCATCTTAAAAAAAAAAAAAAAAAGAATTCAGATGCAATACTGAGTGGGAAGCTTTGGAAAAGAGGTTGAGACATGGCATTGGCACATAAGCAGATGTTTGTAAGAGGTTCTGTTTGTAAGGCATATCGAGGAAGCAAAAGTCGGTGATCATACTTAGTATTTTAGGCATAAAGATTTAGACTAATCAGTACTTGAAGGTATTAGACCTGCTTAGTTGTACTATGATACTTTCTAAGCAGTAACTTAGAGACAAATTTTAAATGATCAGTTTTGAATTATAGGACATCGCTTATCCTGAATAAATTATTCAGATTTTTGTTTAATGTTTTTAGCATTTAAAGAACAAATACTGTTTTATGAACCTCTTTGAGCACATGCATAATAAAGTTGTGAAATGAAGGAGAAAAAAAACCTGGCTGAGGTAGCTAAAATAAAATCAGTGGAAAAAAAAAAACCATTTTAGTCAATAGAACATTAAACTGTGGAGCTTTTAAGGAAGAATTGTGATTTAGTTGTCCTTTATTAGGGAACTAATAAACCAGTACTAAATTTTTTTTTTTTTTTTTTTGATCTATAACTCTTTATATTGGAGGTAAAAGTTTTTTTTTTTTTTTTTTTTTTTGGTCGGGTTCTCGCACTGTTGCCCAGGCTAGAGTGCAGTGGTACAGTCATGGCTCACGACAGCCTTGAACTCCAGGACTCAAGTGATCCCCCTGCCTCAGTCACATGAGTGCCATCACACCTGACTAAGTTTTTTATTTTTTGTATAGACAGTGTCTCACTATGTTGCACAGGCTGGCAAAACAGCTTTTTATCTTGTAACTTGCATAACTCAGTATTCTGGATTAGCTTTAGCAATATTGTATAAAGAACGAAGCATGATTTGAAGCATCACTGTCCAATAGAACATGTAATGTGAAATATATATACAAGTTTCATGTGGAATTTTATAGTAGCTATGTTTAAAAGGGCTAAAAAATAGGTGAAATTAATTGTAATAATATTTTTAATCTAGTATAACTGAAATATTATTACTAATGACGTATTTTACATTTTGTCCTAATCTTCAAATCAGCGTGTATTTTACGCTTATAGCACATCTCAATTTGGATTTGTTATATTTCAAATAGCCACATGTGGCTAGTGGCTACCATATTGGACAGTGCATATTTAAGAGTTATGGAACAAGTAATAGCCCAATTTTTACATTTTATCGATGTACATGGCCCAGGACGGCTTTGAATGTGGACCAAATTAGTAAACTCTCTTAAAATATTATGAATTCTTTTTTTTTTTTTTTAAGCTCATCTGCTATTGTTAGTGTTAGTGTATTTTATGTGTGGCCCAAGAGAGTTCTTCTTCCAGTGTGGCCCAGGGAAGCCAAAAGATTAAACACCCCTGGTCTGTGTGATCTGGCTCCTTTCATATGTCTGGCTCATTTCCTGCTTCACACCAGTGTATAGCCTTAGCTCTCAAAGGACCCGCTGTTTTCCATATATGCTATTTTTCTTGATTCGTGACATTACATGCTTATCTCTTTGCTGAATGCCCTTGAATCTTACCATTCTACCTCTTTATCTAGCTAACTAATACTTTGAAATTCAATGCAAAACTCATTTTCTCTGGATAAACTTTTATCCACTAGTATGCGCAATAAAGGCAGCAGATGCAAAGTTAAGATACACATCCATTCATGTTTGGATTATGCGGAACAGACATAGTGTTAATATCCATAATAGTGACTGAGTGTGGTGGCACATGCCTGTGGTCCCAGCTACCCAGATGACTGAGGTGGGAGGATTGCGTAAACCCAGCAGGTCATGGCTGCAGTGAGTTTTGATGGTGCTACTGCATTCCAGCCTGTGTGTCAGAGCAAGACCCTGTCTCAAAAAGAAAAAAGAAAAGATCTGTAATAGTAAAAAGTGTTGTGAATAATTAAAAGACCAAAGTTTATTGAAGATATGAATAAGCATGAAAATACAAATATTAATAAATGTGAAATACAATTTTTTTATCTATCAGGTGAGTAAATATTTAAAAGATTAACTGCATTTTTGCATGGTTGCAGAGCAGTGCTTTCCAACAGAAATGTAACACAAACCACGTATGTAATTTAAAATTATCTAGCAACCACATTAAAAAAATTTTATAAAAGTGCAGTTATTCTATTTTTCTCAATATGTTCAAAATATCACTTCAACATATAATCAATGTAAAAACATTAAATATATATTTAAAGTTTTTATCATACAAAGTCATCAAAATCTAGTGTATTAATTTCAGAACATATCAACTTTTACTAGCCATTCAGAGGGAATTCTTTTACATTTTTGGTGAGGAAATATTTTGGAGGACAATTTGGCAATATTTATCAAATTAAATATTCAAATGACCCAGGATTCTATTCCTAGAAATATGTTCTCTAGAAATAACATATATTTAAAGAATATAGACAGATAGGTATTTTTTACAGTATTATTTGTAATAGCAAAACATTGGAAACAGCTTAAACGTTCTGCAGAGGTGTGGTGAGATAATTATGATATTTCCAGACAGTGGTGGACTATACAACCTTAAAAAATATGGAAGCTGTTTATGTCGAGTTATGTGAGCTAATAAATATTAAATTATTTAACATATATAAAATGTTTAGAATGTACATGGCACATAGTTAATGTGATGTCAGTGTTTGTTATTATTATGAATTTATTGATATGAAATAAATATTCATATGGAAAAAAATCTCCAGATATGTTAAGTAAAATTAAAAAACACCAACATGCAGAGCTATTTATTATATGCTATCATTTGTGTAAATAAAGGGGAATAAAAAGAATACATATATGATTTCTTGTATATGCATATAGTATCTGTGGAAGGGCATGCAATAAACTGAGAACATTAATTATATTTGGAGAGGAGAATGAGGTGGTAGATAGTGACTTTTCACTGTGTCCTGTTCCTTTTGTATTTGTTCCATAATGAATATATTACTTAGTGTAAAATTGAAATGTAAATTAAACTTATTTCTCTTATTGAAGAGTATGCATTTTACCATTAAATCAGGTTCATTTCTAGAATTAGTATGAATTATTGTGGTTTTAATCAGGAAAAATCACAGGATTGTACAACTTCATTTATCTAGAATGGCTGGAGAATATGGGATTCTGGGTAAATTTAATTTTGAGTAATCAGAATTTTAATCAGAAGCATTTGGTTTCAAAATATATATGCCTTTTGAAAATATTTCTAAGTCATCCTTTTTCTTGTCTCAGTAAGTATGGCATATTGAACTTAACAGAATGTGTTGATTTTTTGAGGATTTTGTGCTTAGTCATTCTTACTATCAGCTTGCAAAAGCATAAGAAACTGAGTTTGAATACATACATTCTTTAAAATATATCCAACTGTACGTGGTGACTGACGCCTGTAATCCCAGCACTTTGGGAAGCTAAGGCGGGCGGATCACCTGAAGTTGGGGGTTCGAGACCAACCTGACCAACATGGAGAAGCACCTTCTCTACTAAAAATATGAAATTAGTTGGCCATGGTGGCACATGCCTGTAATCCCAGCTACTTGGCAGCCTGAGGCAGGAGAATCACTTGAACCTGGGAGGTGGAGGTTGTGATGAGCCGAGATTGTGCCATTGCATTCCAGCCTGGGCAACAAGAGTGAAACTCCATCTCAGAAAAAAAAAATAATATCTCCTAGAAAATATTTTTTAAAAAGGTGACAACAAAATAACTCAATCCTAATATAGGCTTTGTATGTGCAAGTGATATTTCTCTCAGAGTTGAGCTCTGAATAAAAGGGTAGAAGAATTCTGATTAATTTAAATTTCACAGCTGGGTGCTATGGCTTATGCCTGTAATCCCTGCACTTTGGGAGGCCAAGGCAGGAGGATCGCTTGAGGCTGCGGGTTCAAGGCCAGCCTGGGCAACACAGCAAGACCCTGTCTACAAAAGAAATAAAATAAAATAAAAAATAAATTTAATATTTCTGACCGTTCTGTTTATCAAAATTTCTGGACAAATACATATGTTAATTTTATATTTTTCATGTATAGTTCTTGCTTTTTCACGGGCATTTATTGACACTTTTGATGTTTTTAGGATTTGGAGTGGATCAGTTACGAGACGACAATCTAGAAACTTACTGGCAATCAGATGGTTCCCAGCCTCATTTAGTGAACATCCAGTTCAGGTAATACATTTTCAAATTTTTCATCTAGTGTAGGTTATAGACAAAGAAATCTATTTTATTTACATAAAAACTAAAGATAGAAATTACAATGAAATACACTTTTTAAACTCTGAAGTCTTAGAGATTATTTTTCTGTTCGGTTAGATCATTAGCATTTCAAATTTACTCTGTCTTATTTTTTATGAATTTTCTTATGGTATGTTGGCGATTAGTAGTTCTATTTTAATATGTTAGTTGTTTTTTATAATTTTTTTTATCTTTTCTTTTGTTTTTTGTTTGTTTTTGGGTGTCCTATAGGTGTGTGTATTTTTGAATTCATTGGTATGGTTGAAGTTTTGCTCTTCGGATACGCTTCCTTGGGCGCTTGAGATCCTTGCCTTGGTAAGTGAAGGGAATTCGGTGGTTAGGGTGTGTTTAATTTTTCCTCATAGTGCTTTTATATCTATATACTATATATCTGTAAAGCCGATCATACTGTTAGCGGGGTTTTATCTTGTTGTTTGATCACATGAGCATGACCTTATTGGCATTCTCTGATGTTTTTTTGGTTCATCCTTAAGTTAGGTTGATTGATGTTTCAGCAAAGGGCCCTCACCAACTTTGAATTTTACATTAGGTCTACATTGGATGCAAAGCACACAAAGATGGGCTTGCCGCTTGTCTAAGCTTGGTCAGCTTCACGAATTCATGTGCTATGGGCCATCGTGGATGAGGGGGGTCTTCGCACCTTTGTAAAGCAGTATTAAGTTGCATTCACCTCCAGCAGCCAATGCCTTCTCGGCCATGGGGTGGGTTTACGGGTGAAGCGGAATCTTTGAAGCACGCCAAGCCTCCGCTCCGGGCGTGTTTGCGGCGGCAGGAAAGAGCTTTTACTTTTCACTAATAATTTATTTTTGATGTACTTCCAGTAAAATATGTTTTGTTGGTTGGCCGTATTGATCAGTTGTTTCCTTTAGATGTTATCTATTATATGTTATAGCCGAGCTGTTATGTTGTGTGTGATTGTTATGGATGTTGTTGTTAGACTGTTGGAATCCTTGTTGAGGTGGTTGATGGTGATTCATACAACTTCTCTTGGATATTTTTTACTTTTATTTTTGGAAAGGATAATAAGATATATGTTTATTCTTAGTAAGCCTTGTAGACAGTTTTTGCTTTTTTGAAAAGATATGGCTGTTTGAGGGGGGATAAGGAAACGGAGTTGCCACCATGTTTGTGCGGGCAATGCTTTTGATATTTGTTTTTTTTTATTATAAGTAGTCAAATGGTGTTTTAATTTTTATAATTTGAGATGTTGAACCCTTGGAGGTTGGTGCCGGTCTGTGGTCTACAAACTCGTTGGCGCTGTAGAATGCTTGTCCCACCTCAGCCTCCCAAAATGCTGTGTTTCCAGGCATGAGACCATGGGCCTGGCTGAATTATTGAATAGTGTGGAAACCAGTTATCAGCTTATCTTGTTCCATTATTACACTTTTTTTGTTTTTTTTTTTTTTGAGATGGAGTTTTGTTTTGTTGCCGGTGGAGTGCAATGCATGTGATCTTCAGCTCAACGCAACTCCGCTCCCAGGTTCAAGTGTATTCTCTGCCTCAGCCTTCCAGTAGCTTGGGATTACAGGATGTGCCACCATGCCCAGCTATATTTTGTATTGTTTTGGTGAGAGGTTCTCATGTGGTCGGCTGGTCTTCAACTCTGGACTTTGTGACACCCCCCTTGGTTCCAAAGTGGTTACAGGCATGAGCCACTGCACCCGCCTTATACCATCTATTTTAACGTTCTATAGCATTGTATTTTTAGTTGTTTGTTTTTATTGTCCTAGAGTACAAATCAGCAAATTTCCAGCAAGCCAGATAGTGAATATTTTAGGCTTTGTGGGCCATCTCATCTGTTTTGCAGCTACAGTGCTCAGTTCCAGTATTATAGCACAAAGGCGGCCCTACACAGTGCCTAAATGACATAATTTAGCTGTTCTCATTAAATTTTATCTTACAAAAGCAGACGTTAGGCAGGATTTATTCATTTTCCTTCTGACTTCTGTTTTAGGTTAAGGGAGTACATGTGCAGGTTTGTTACATGGGTAAATTGCCTTTTGCTGGGGTTTGGTGTACAAATTATCTCGTCATGCGGGTAGTAAGCATAGTACCTGATCGTTTTTCGGTCCTCTTCTTCCTTTCCTTTACCTCAAGTAGGCACCCTTGTCTATTGTTCCCTATTTTGTCTCTATATGTATTCAATGTGTTTTTTTTTTTTTTTTTTTTCTTGAGACGGAGTCTCACTCTGGTTCCCAGGTGGAGTGCAGTGGCACGATCTCTGCTCACTGCAACCTCCACCTCCCAGGTTCAAGCGATTCTCCTGCCTCAGCCTCCCAAGTAGCTGGGATTACAGGTGCCCGCCATCACACCCGGCTAATTTTTGTATTTTTAGTAGAGACAAGGTTTCACCATGTTGGCCAGGCTGGTCTCAAACTCCTGACCTCAGGTGATCCGCCTGCCTCGGCCTCCCAAAGTGCTGGGATTATAGGTGTGAGCCACCGCACCCAGCCATGTATTCAATGTTTAGTTCCCACTTATAAGTGAGGACATGCACTATTTGGTTTTCTGTTTCTGTGTTGTCTTAGGATGCCAGCCTCCAGCTGCATCCATGCTGCTGCAAAGGACATGATTTCATTCTTTTTTATGATTGTGTGATGTTCCATGGTGTATATGTACCATATTTTCTTTATTTAGTCCACTGTTGATGGGCATCTAGATTGAATTCCATGTCTTTGCTATTGTGAATAGTGCTGCAGTGAACATGTGTGTGTATTTGTCTTATGGTGAAATGATTTAAATCCCTTTGGGTATATAACCAGTAATAGGATTGCTTGGTTGAATGGTAGTTAATGTTTTAAATTCTTTGAGAAATCTTCAAGCTGCTTTCCACAATGGCTGAACTAATTTACATTCCCACTAGCAGTGTATAAGCATTGCCTTTTTTTCACAACTTCACCAGCATCTGTTATTTTTTTGACTTTTTAATGATAAACATTCCGACTGGTGTGTGAAATGGTATCTCATTGTGGTTTTGATTTGTATTTCTCTAGTGATTAGTGAGGATGACCATCTTTTCATATGCTTGGCTGTATGTCTACTTTTGAGGAATGTCTGTTCATGTCCTTTGCCCATTTTTTAATAGAGTTGCTTTTTTCTTGTAAATTTAAGTTCCTTATAGATTCTGGATATTAGACTTTTGTCAGATGCATAATTTGCAAATATTTTTTCCCATCCTATAGGTTATCTGTTTACTCTGTTAATAGTTTATTTTGCTGTGCTGAAGCTCTTTAGTTTAATTAGGTCCCACTTGTCAATTTCCATTTTTGTTTTAATTGCTTTTGGAGTTTTTGTCATGAAATCTTTATTAGGTCCTATGTTCTAGGTATTTCTAGGTATTTCCTAGGTTTTCTACCTGGGACTTTATAGTTTTTGGTTTTACATTTAGGTCTTTTATAAATCTTGATTATTGTATATGGTGAAAGGGAGGGGTCTAATTTCAATCTTCTGCATATGGCTAGCCAGTTATCCCTGTATAGTTTATTGAATAGGGAGTTCCTTCCCCATTGCTTGTTATTGCCAACTTTGTTGAAGATCAGATGTAGATATGCAGCTTTATTTCTGGGTTCTCTAATCTGTTCCATTGGTCTCTGTGTCTGTTTTTGTACCAGTACCATGCTCTTTTGGCTACTGTTATTTTGAGGTATAGTTTGAAGTTGGGTAATGTGATGTCTCCAGCTTTGTTCTTTTTGCTTGGTATTGCTTTGGCTATTGAGGCTCTTTTTTGGTTCTATATGAATATTAGGATAGTTCTCTAATTCTGTGAAAACTGTCAGTAGTTTGATTGGAATAGCATTGAATCTGTAAATTGCTTTGGGCAGTTATGACCATTTGTTTTTTAAACAATATTGATTCTTCCTATCCATGAGCATGGGATATTTTTCCATTAGTTTGTGTCATATCTGATTTCCTTCAGCAGTGTTTTGTAATTCTTGTAGAGATCTTTTGCTTCCTTGGTTAGCTGTATTCTCAGGTATTTTATTCTTGTTTGTGGCTGTTTTGAGTGGAATTGTGTTCTTGATTTGGCACTTAGCTTGGATGTTACTGGTGTATAGAAATGCTATTGATTTTTGTATATTAATTTTGTATCCTGAAACTTTGCTGACGTTGTTCATCAGATCTAGGAATCTTTGGGCAGAGACTATGGGGTTTTCTAGGTAGAGAATTACATTGTCTGCAAACAGAGATGGTTTGACTTCCTCTCTTCCTATTTGAATGCCTTTTAATTTTTCTCTTGCCTGATTGCTGTGGCTAGGACCTCTAGAACTATGTTGAATAGAAGTGGTGAGAGTGGGCATCCTTGTCTTGTTCTGGTTCTTAAGGGGAATGCTTCTTCCAGTTTTTGCTCAGTATGATGTTGGCTGTGGGTTTGTCATAGATGGCACTTATTATTTTGAATTATGATCCTTCAATGCCTAGTTTATTGAGGATTTTTAACATGAAGTGATGTTGAATTTTATTGAAAGCCTTTTCTGCATCTCTTGAGATGATGATGTGGTTTTTGTTTTTCGTTCTGTTTATGTGATGAACGACATTTGTTGATTTGCATATGTGGAGCCTGTCTTACATCCCAGGAATAAAGCCTCCTTGATTGTGGTGGATTAGCATTTTTTTGATGCGCTGCTGGATTGAGTTTGCTAGTATGTTATTGAGGATTTTTGTGTCGATGTTCATCGAGAATATTGGCCTGAGGTTTCTTCTTTTACTGGGTCTTTGCCAGGTTTTGGTATCAGAGTGATGCTGGCCTTAGAATGAGTTAGGGAGGAGTCCTTCCTTCTCAGTTTTTTGCAATCATTTCAGTAGGATTGATACCAACTTTTTCTGTACTCTGGGGTTCTCTGAATTTCCTGAATTTGAATGTTAACCTCTTTAGTGAGGTTGGGGAAATTTTCATGGACAATAACCTCAAATAT